AGCTGCTAATTGCAATTAACTGCAACATCAACGGAGTCTTGTCCTACCAGAGCCCTGATCTATCTCAAGATGGTTGCAAATTTTTGGCATTTCTGTAACTTCTCTGTAAACCAAAGAGAGGCAGCCTGTAGCAAGGAATAATTAAAGCACACAAATTACTTCCAACAAGAACATTATGGTCAATCTTTGTGAAAACTTCCTTACTTACTTTGCATAATTGCTATGCAAACCCCAGGCTGACGAGATCCGAACTTGGCTTTTTTTTCCAGCCATCCAGATTTACATATTGACTAGCCTCTCCAAAATGGATATTTCCCAGTAAATGACAGCATGATGCAACCAGAAGAGAGCTGGTGTTTCTCTTTCATTAAGCTCTGTCACCTCCCTTTCAAGCTGTCTTAGATGAGCACAGGTTCTTATCTCTCCTGCATTCCCCGAACTCCACCTGTGCCAAGTCTTGCTGTTTTCCCTCTTCGGGCACAGCAGCTCTGGAATCTGAGAAAGAAATTTCTCTTTCACATCTTTATCTCTACTTTTCTCAGAGTCCCCTCATGCTAATATTCCTTCCCCAACGCAACCATCAATGGTGGTACTATTACCATCATTAGTCTCCCACTCTTCCCAAAGGGATGCACACCTTTATGGGGTACATACCTCTATTTCTCCAGACAGGTTTCTGATTCAGGCAGCATTTGCAAACCAAAAAGGCAGATATGTTCTATTCAGAGTGATTTTGTGTAACACATGCTATCCAACTACCTCAGCTTTAATCTTCCTTTGTCAACAAGAAAGTTTGTCCTCTATTTGTTCCACACCCACCAATCTAGGAACACACAAAACCACTTAGTCAAATACAGTGTGCCTGGAAAAGCACGTGGTCTTTGTGGCCCATTTCCAGAGGGTTCTGCTACCTCTCCAGGAACTTCTCAACAAAATTCCCTCTCCATCCACCACCAGAGAGGCAGGACTGCAAAGCTCAGTAGAAAAGCTGAGGTTAAAGCAGAGCAGTTCCCTAGCTCTCAAGGAGCGGCTTATCATTGTCCGCATTCCAGGACAACAAAACCTCTACTTCTCACACAACCAGCTTGCCTCAGGCTTGTCTCTGCATTCAGATATTTGGCTCTCCTTCCTCATACTAGATAAAACACTCCCCTGAGGCAAAATTTTTTAGTAAGCACTTAGTCGCCTTTGATCTCAAAAGCAGCTGGTGCACAGCTGCTCCCCATTACTTTTGCAGCTCTCAGGAACCTTTTGCATTTTCCTGTCCTCCCTCACAGGCAGGCACACAGGGCAAGAACATCACCAGCAACCATCTTTCATTCTAAGGCAAAAGCTTTTATCTCCATCTCACGTGCCCTGCCCAATTCCTCCTTGAACTACTTCCCACCTGGCTCAGCCTCAGATCTTCCCTCCTAATGGTATCCCCAAACATGTGAGCAATGCCCTCCTATTCTTCTTCTCAGCAAGGGTTTCCTCCATGCTTGGGAGTCTCCTGGGGAGACACAGTAATCTGTCTGATGTACAGATGGTAAAGAACAGGCTGCTGTACCTCCTCCCAGGAAAAAAATATTCCCTCGGGTTCATTGTTTTTGCAGGAGGTAAGATAGGAGTGAATTCCACCCTAGTTTTTCTTCTCTCCAACTACAGAATCCAGCAAGCACAGGAAGGCCTCTCTCCTTAGAGGTGAGTCCATGCTAGGAAGCATGGATGTGGTTAGCACAGTATCACCTCACAGAGCCTTAGACCAACTGCAGTGTCTATTAACAGCACGAGGTCTTTCAATTTTACTTTATGCCAGTTTAAGGAAAATAGAAGAAAGCTAGAAACCAACCCAGAATCTCAAATTACAGGATTCACAGACAGTATTTCATCCCTTCCTTAGCTGCAAAAGCCATTTGAAACCACCACCAGCAGACAAGCATGGACTGTAGGATGCAGCACAGCCACTACAACACTGAGCTTTGACAAATGTTTGCAGTCCATTTCCTACCTACACAGGAGGTGAAGATAACTCCTGACCAACCTGCTGGGATTTCCCTAGACATCCACAAGAAAAAAAAAAGGAAAATTAATCTTAACACTCACATGCTGAGGAGAACTGGGAGCTGAAATCCTTTTTCTCAGCTTGCCCTCCAGAATGGTCTCACTGAGGCAATCGCTGTGAACCCACCAGCACTTCAGCAGCTCCTTCTCCCACCAAGGAGCCCAACCTACTCTTGCAACCAAATACTCAGTAGAAAAATCACTTCACCTGGTTCTACTGCTGCCACTTCAGAGTCAAGTCCCACAGCTGCTTCTGGAACCACTATGGGAAGCAAACCCACCCATACAAGTGGGTTTTGTTGAGTTTTGTTTTTGGTTTTTTTTTTTCCTCAAGCAGTATATATTACACTTGTGTTTATGCCTGCATACACTATTGAGGAAAAGGTTTTACTAGAATCTGGTGGAAAGATTCACATTCACAGGGCCTACATTTAGTAGCTCTGAAGCCACAAACTTCTGTTTTCCATAAAAATTTAGGAATTTTAACTTTGTATTAGCATTTTTGCTACAGGTGTAGCCTCCAGGAAGGCTCAAGTCAAAACTCGACCTTCTGGCCAAGAGGAAAAAGGAAGATGCTTCTTGTTATTAGTTTATGAAAGTCTATTAATTTCTCAACAGACACTTTCAAACTTCAATTTTAGCACTGCATTGGTACTTTAATGATGCATATTCACTCCTTAAAACATACCCCAAATTCCACCTTCCCCAAACCACCATCCACCTTTCCATGGATTTCAACAGGAGTAGCGTGGGCTCTTTATAGCTGCCTATGCTCTCAGCATTACTACTTGTTAATGAAACCTGTTTCACATCAAGTGCATTGTGTGAGGGCATGTCCACGGCATTCTTCCCAGAAATGTGTCTGCAGTAACATCACAGTGGGACTCAGCTCCACGAGTTGCCCTGTAAGAAAGAACCACACCCTCCTTTTGAAAGTAGAGACTGTGTGTGTGTAGGTGTCATGGTTTTAAAACAGTAACTAAAAAAATTACTTATTTCTTGCTGTGAGATATGGATTAGAGCAAGAGCAAAACAGGCTTAAAACTTAAAAAGGAATAAAGGAAGTTTATTAACAAACTACAAGAATAAGAACACCAGAATAAACTTCCAGAAAACCCTTTTTATCCCCTACTACCCACCATTCCCTTGTTCACATGACACAAAAACTTTGGAACTTTGGTGTTTAAAACAGTCCCAATTCTTGCTAGAGTCTTTTCATCAGTCTTTGTAGAGAAACAGAAGTCTCTTTCTGCTAATCTATGGAGTTTCTCACAAGAAAAACTATTTCTATTATAGCTTTCTATTTTTCTGATGTCAGCTGCCCGGAAACCTCGTCATCAGAATTTACTCCTCCCATTTCACATCACTCTGAGGTGTGTATGGGCCATGGGTCTAGGGATGTCATTTTAAGGATGAGTTATTCAAAGGCAAAAAGTCTTCATCTGTCTTTGTGAGCTCCACTGGAAAACAGTTTTCTCATTGCCCCCCAAGGCTTCAAATCTTCGCTCAACTCTATTCTAGCACTTCACTGTATCACAATTACTCTACTTTTTACTCAAAATCCACACTTTGAACACTCTATTCCTCCCTATATACTCTGTCCTGAATTAAAAGAGTTTTCCAAGACCTTATTGTCCATCTCCATAGCTTTAACAGAAAAATATTTCAGCTTATAAATCATCTCCTTATTCTCTACCTTTTCTGAAGCTTAATTCTTTTCTTTACTGTCTCTGATAGTTTATAGAGTCTCTTTACATGTTGATTACTCTCTTTTTCTCTCTCTGGATAAAAGGATTAATCTGCAAGTCTCATCTGGGTAATGAAAGGGTTAAAATCTTGCCCAGGCTTTGTAGATGGTTCTGTGATCTCTGCCGGAGCAGCAGCTGGAGTTGTCTGCGATGGAAGATTCTTCATGGCTGCTCTGGAGAGTGTGGTCACTGTCTCAGCCTGCCGCAGGTCAAGAGCTTTTTTTCCCCTTTCTTTACTCAGCAGTCTCTGGTGAATTCAGACACGGCAAAAACTGCAGCCGAGCCAGGGACCGGCCTGGCCCGGCCAGAGCCCGGGGCAAGCCCCGCAGGCCCCATCTCCCGGCCGGGAGCCGCTGGGCCCAGCCCAGCCCCTGCCCGGGCCACATGGCCTGGGCAGGGAACGGGAGGCCAGCTGGAGCTCTGTCACCTTTCACAGCCAGGAAATAAAGAGAACAAGAGTGCTCTGACTTTACATCTTAAGGAGGTGTTCACAGGTTGACTTAACTTTTTAATGGTCAAAACTGCTGTCAGTTCTTAGAAATGACTGATAATTGGTCAGGAGGAAAGACTCCCATCAGCCACCAGCAGCTTCAACTTTCCTTAGCTCCCAAAGCTATCTTAAAGGTAAAGCCACCCCATGACAGTAGGTCAATTAAGAAACTAAACAGCAGACTTCTACACCACTGTCAGAAACACACTTCTGTTTTTATGGAAACATAACCAACTGTGATCTGCAAAATCAGGGGTGCAGGTCAGTAAGCCATTTTTTCCACTTTTCATGGGTGCACTTCCCAGTGCCACACACCTTCTCCTCACCTTTATTCTCCTAGCCCCTACCAAATCAAGGAGAACACATCTCCCCCTCTGATTTTTTTTGCTAGCATGTAAGCTGAAGTATCTTAAACAGGGATATAAAGGTTTTGCAGATCTTTAATGTAAATAAATAAAACAATCCCAAAGTGGGCTTTCCTGTAAAATATTTTAGCTAGCAATCTGTAAAGCTAACTTTCAAATTCCAAATTTGCTCCTGGAAAAGAGGACTACCTACAGTCAATTCCTGAGAAAAACTCTCAAAAACTTAACTTTTCCTGAAAGCTGTGAAGTTTTGTGAAGTTTTTCAGAAGGCGTTGTATGACAGTGAAGAAACAAAAATCCATTCCTTCCATTGGCTACAAATAACAAAAATATGAACAGCCTCTTAGTACTTAATCTGTTACATAACTACATGTATAAAAAATATTTTATTAATTTTCTGTCAGTAACAAGGGATTATTAGAGAACAACTGCTGTGGACATAGCTTTATGGCGGACAATCATCATGAGCTCCTACAGCCATCTGAAGCCAATAGTCCAGATTTCTAAAAATGACAAAATTGTACAAGTTCTCTCCTCCTTTGTGGAAACCATGTTCACTTTCTCTCCAGGAGACAGGGCTGTCTGCAAAGCCATGCACAGTTAAGGTCAGCCAATACGCCAGTTTTGGTTCACCAAAATAGCAACTGCAAGCAAGAAGACAAGATAATCAGTGGTTATAATGGAATAAGCAGCACATTCAAGTCTACAGTATAAAGTAAAACAGTCAAAGACACACTTTAGTGAAAATTTATTAACAGTTAAGAAGTTTAGTCCATAATAAATAAGCTCAAAAGAAAATACTCAGAAAAGCTTAGGGAAAAAAGTAAGACTGACTATCTATTATTCCTACCATAGTTTTATACATGGCAAATCCGCAAGTTGTAGCAATTAGAAAAAGTTCTAAGTTGTAAAGTAGCAATTCTGACTTTGCTACAGGATGCACTGTCTTTCAGAAAATTGAACATTTAATGAGAACAATTGCTATCGGAGAAGAAAAAAGACATTGGAGGAAGTAATGTAGTCTAAGGCTATGCTTGACACAAATACTTTTACCACCAGAGAGGAAACAGATTATGAATAATCAAAACCAGATATTATCCATTCCACATTTTAAAGATGTAGGAGTACCATACAGCCACAGTTTCTCAGAAATTCAGATAAAACCAAAGTCATAACTAGAATACATGGCAGGCTTTTTCAGATTTGAGGCATCCAAAATTGTTTATTATTTTTTATGCTTTTATAATTGTAAATTATAAAATTATAATTTATAATTTTTTAATGCTGATGTCTGCTTCCAGCTCATTTCCTAATTAAAAAAAAAAAATCTTCATTTATATATTTAGCTATTTATTTCCAACTGAAAAGTATTTAAAAGTGATTTCAAATAAGAAGTTTTGAGTACAAGTGTTATAGTAAATGTTATCCTGTCAGCCCTTACCACAGCTGCTCCAATAACTGAATGATCTTCTCAGGAATTATAAAGCCTGTGATTGTGCATAAAAAAGCTTTTTCCACCACTGTGTTGGGCTCAGGACAGCAATAGGTTGATAAGAAGCTGGAGGATTTGTTGTCTCTGGGAGGAAAAAACACATAAAGCAACTGAAATAAATTTGTCTTAAATATTCTATAGGATGTCTTAGTAATCAAAACCTGTACCAAACAAATAGGATCTATGTATAACATCTAAATTAATGCCAAAGTAATTAATGACCAAGCAATCAATACAAAAGATCTCATGGTGCTGTGGATTAATCCTGTAAGCACCCAAACACCACACAGCTGCTCCCTCCCTCACTCCCACCTGGAACTGAAAGGGTAATGGAAGAAAATGCATGGGTTGAGATAAAGACAATTTAATAAGCAGAGGAAAAGTCCCACATGAAAGCAAAGCACACAAAGGATTTAATATTTCCCATGGGCAGCAGACGTGCAGCCATCTCCAGGAAGGCAGGGCTTCTAACTGACTTGGGAAGACAAATGCTGGAACTCCAAACATTTCTCAACCATCCTTGCCCCAGCTTTTGCTGCTGAGCATGTGACCATAACCCATGATGTGGGATATTCCTCTGCTCAGCTGGGGTTTTCTGTGCTGGCTGGGTTCTCTCCCAGCCTCCTGCCCACCCCCAGCCTCCTCACTGGCAGGGCTGTAGGAGAGACAGAAAAGGGCCTTCAGACTGTGCAAGCCCTGCCCATCAATAGTTAAAACATCCTGTTATCAACACTCTTGGTCACAGATCCAAAGCACAGCACCACACCAGTTACTAAGAGGAAAATTATCCCAGCCCAATTCAGTATATATAGGTACCCCTAAAAACACAGATAAAGTAATTCAAGACTTACAACATTTAACTGCATAAAAGACTCCCACTTACAAAACACTCTCTGTCTTAATTATTATTAACTATTTCTTAAAATGAATTGTGGCTTCCTTTACTTAAAACATGTTTAAAGATCAAACAAATTCAAGTACTTACAAGCTGACTTGATTCAAGACAGCACCCAGCCATTCAAACAGCTCCTCTGTACTGCAGGACTCCTCCGGTTTTCCTTGCAGATCATTACTTTGTAACACTGGACACTGCAAGTCCCTTAAGGTGCTGAATGTTATTTTTGGCTTCAGGGCCTGTATTTGGTTTTTTGAAAAGTATGACATCAATGTTGATCCCTCTGCACCTTAACAACACAGTACCACAAACAGCTGTTATGAAACTGCTAAACAAAAGAAGCAATGAATACATGAAACATTTGTGTATAAACAAAAAAACGCAGTGTGAAACTGCTTGTGTGCTTTTAATCCCTGGCAAAACCTTAGAATCTTCAGCTTCCTTATGTTCTTGGAAATAAAAGTTAGTGCAAGATTCAGCAGCTTCGTACAGGTCAGTAAATTTGCTAACTACAAAGCGTAGATTTGTCAATAGAAAATTCAAGCAGAATTAACTGCATGGGTAATAAAATGAGCTTGTTAACAAGAGGAACTCAGAGTGCTCCTGAAAAGGAACAGACAAAATGGAGCAGGAACATCATCTCTGAACAGCATTTCCCCTGAATAATGGAAAAGTGAGCATGTGATATTAGGTTTTAGAACAGATTTATCAATAATGTCAGGAGAAATTACAGAATAATCTGGAGCATAAGGACTGAAGCGAGAGGAAAGAGGGTAAAGAAATAAAAATACATCACAAATGTCACTTCCCTAGAAGAATAAACTCACCCCCACCCCCCACTCCCTGGTAACCCTTCAAATGCAGTATGGCTCTAAGAGTTAAACGCACCTTGATGGACTTGTGGGAAAGTACTAGTAAGAGATCCAAACCAGCAGGTACCTAGATTAAAAAACTAACCTAAGCAGGCATATTTTAAGTATAGAGATATGACCAACTTGCTTTTGAAGGAGGAAGGTAATTGACATGGGATAAATTATCCTAAATTTCAAATTCCAGATAATGTGTGCTATTTTCAAAAAGTAAAAATGGGTGTCTAGGAGACCGAGAAATAATGCCTTACTCATGAAAAGTCTGAAGTGCAGAGCAATATCTAAATACCACAGGAAAGGCATGTGTAAACAGCAGAAATTCAAGAATAGGGTAGAGCACACTGTGGAATACTATATGTAAAATTTTCTATCAGAAAATATGGGCTGCCTAAAGTCTAATCAGCCATATTTACGTCATCAAGGACAATAATTTGGGGAAGTAGAAAAAGGAGGGTTGAGCTCTTCTTTTTTTTTCAGAGATTCCTCTTCAAAAAAAAAAAGGTTACTCCAAAGGGCACAGTGACAAAGACAGGCAGTCACTGAATTCTTCTTAATGTAATATTTTCATATACACATATTTAAGTCTGAAGAGTGCCAGAAGAGATTATCTTCCTTACATTCTATTGGCATTTGTTAGCCCAACAGGTTCAAAGAACATACAATGTTGCCCTAGAATTCCTAGTAAAATTCAGAAAATCATACATTTTACATGTCTGCTGCATGTGGGAGCCTCAGCTATAGCCTAAATGCAGGAAATCTCAAAAACTACAGTCAAGACCCTAACAGAACAATTCCTCTAGCTACAGCACAGCTTTCTATGTTAACCGCAACCAGGCACATCATCAAAGCTTTTCAGAGGCCACTGAACTTCATCCAATAAACACGTGAAATTGTGATAGAAATTACAGCAATAGAAAAAAGATTGTATTGCCTCTGTCATTAAAGACATGAGATGCTCCATACTCCCTTTTCCTGTTCTTCTTGGTGCCAAAACCACAATGTGGGAAAATTGGGTATGAAAACCAAAAATACTACAGTGCTGGCCATAGCAAGGAACACCAGTTATCAGCAGGAAGGCTGAAAGCAGAATGTTCAGAGGACACAGATTCTCTTGACAAAATACAGCCCACTTTTTTCCTTACAGCAAAATCTACACAACGTCTCATATCTATTAATAAAAACCTAAAAAAGTTTTATTTTTGTCAGTACTAAGTAACTAATAGTCTTTTGTGTGTTATGAGGACAAGATTCTTGCACAGAAAGGCATTCAGATTTAATTGTATATTCAGGAAATTACTGACCTGACCTGTTTTAGGGAGGTAAGAAAGTGAGGAAAAAACATGCTATTCTCCCTGAACACTGTTAACATGGGCAGCAGCAACAAACATAAGAAAAATAGTGGCCCTAGAGGCGTTTTGCTCTCTGTCCAGGATCAATAAATCCAAGCAAGCTGAGCGTGAAGATCTGCCACCTCAGCTGGATTTATGTCACCATTTATGGTAGCAACAGCCTTCACCGTGCCTCTTTCCTGAAGATTACAAGGACGGGAATTGCAAGCCTTTAAACAATTTCTGCATGACAAACAAGGAAGCATCCTTGTCATATGATTGTACTTGGAAAGGGGGAGGGAAACATGAAGGAATAAAGTGAAACATGGGACACTCCTAAGGGAGCTTGTAAGCAGCTTCCATTTCTCAGATCAGTTAACTCCTTCTCAGACTTGGCCTTGAAGAGCCAGGAAGAATGAACAATATAAAGAGGAGATGGGAAAGCATTCTCAGGGACCTTTCTAATATCCCTTCTCCCAAGTGTGGAGACTCAGAGCAAAACAACACCAAAAGCTACACATCTGTGATGAAGAAAACCATGTTTTTCAGTACAGACACTTGCAGTTTTCATCAGTTCTATGCAAATGTTACATATCCCCACATACAGCCTGTTCTGAGGTAATACAGACAATGGGGGACTTTGAAAAATTTCCCTCAGAGGAGGAAGAATACTTGAGACCAGAAGAAAAAAATAGTGTAATTAGAAAACCGTACATAAACAAATACTAGAAGATTATTTGAAACAGTACAATTTCTTATAGCAACCTTTTATTTGGTTCCAAGCTCAAACAAATACTTGAGAATAAAGTGATCAAACAGCACTCTGTGTATCTGGGTGCATGGCACAACATGTAAACAGGGAATCTGAACACGTCCTGTAACTACTGAGGAAATCAAAGTTCCCCATCCCAAGTATGTAACTAGATACATAACTTATGTGTATTAATAAAAATTAAAAAAAACCAAAAAAAGCCATTATTGATAATAGTAAGGTATGTCACAAATTTATAAAGAAAAGGCAGCAGGATCAAATAGACAAAGTTTTGCCAGAAAGCCTGGGTAACACAGAGAAAGGAAATGATCTCCTATGAATCACTGCTGTGTTCCTGAACTGAGATGTTCTGTGCACAGGAAGTAACATCCTCCCCACCCCAAACAAATAATCAAACAAAAAATCCCACCTATATGTATCTTAATATAACTTTTCCCTCCACTGAAAATGTATTTGGACAATCAACAGAAAAATAAGTAAACTAAAAATATTTGGACCTCATGGCAGTTGTATTTTAGTTTTACATTTAGTTTTTTTACCTGTATTATACCAAGCCAGTAGGAAGTCAAATTCTAAAGGTTTCTTTTCTTTCAAGGCCCAAAGCACTCTGTTATGTTTCTTGCTCTCAGGGTGAAAGCCAGCATCAGTCAAGTCAATAGTGATAACTGCAAAAAATGCACAATAGCTATTGGTATCCAGTTGAAACAAATTTTATTATTAAATTAGAAGAGCACAAAGAAACCAAAGATCATTAAACTTCCTCTTTACGGCTATAGAATCTTTATAAAGAATTTGATTATGCAAATACAACTCCCCATTATATAAATAAATATTCGCCTCCTGCTGTCCTTATTTTGATATAATCTGGAACTGCGTCCTAGTGACTAGAGGGACAAATTCCTCTTGAAATGGCACTGACATAAGTCCCTGAACAGTGCCTTAAAAATACCTTGGTAGTTAGGCAAGCTACTAGTAAAAATAAAAACATAAACTAGAATTTCTAACAACAAAAGTCATGTATACAGCAATGACACTTTTTCAATAGGTTGGTTTTTCCTAGGGGAATTGTCCCATGGATAAGTTATATTTATTTTTCAAATGGAAATTTCATTATACATTCTGATGATCAGAATGGTAAAATGATGTCCCATATTGCCAAAACACTTACTAGAGATGACAAGTTTCCCTTCCTAATGTTTTTATGTAACTATACCTCTCAGCTGCTGCAAATTCCCATACATTTGAGATGTACAGTGTTCATGTTTGGGTATTTTTATTTCCTTAAAAGACAAATTAATAAAATTCACACTCAAGATGTCTCCTCTGCAGCTGTTAAAAAATTATGTTTTTCAAGTACTTGGTACATGGAGATTACCATTTTAAATGTGCGAAACATAATACAATTCTCCCTTTCAAGCATGCAGTCTTGGGTGAGGCTCTTCACTGATTCTGTCCAGAGAACACATTTTAAATACCTCCTTAATGAGTTTAAAATTTTCTGACTTAAATCAGAAAGTATAGACACTATGCCGAGTATGCAAAAATTCTTGAGTCCCATATCACTCCAGTAGAAACAACACAATGAGAAATTAAAATTTTATAGAGTACTGCATTTGTGTCCTTAAAGCTGTTTGACTACTTGGATAAAAAGTACTTTCTCTCTTCAGGCAGTCATTGTATTTGCATCTGGAAAAATATAACCAACCCAGACAACAATTTTAGTGAAATTTTAATTTCACTTAATTTTAGTGAAAGGGAAGTTTCAACATCCTAACAAGGTGCTTCTTAAATAAGCCCTGTTTATATAAATACTTACTATATCTCATTGCTTTTTTGCCTGAATACCGAGAAGGACGACCTTGCAGTCCAAGTTCCTCATAAGTATCCTTATCCACTGACAGAATTAGTTTACCTATAAACAAAATAAATTTTAGTAGAAATAATCTTCTACTTGGTTCCCTTTGAAGTCTTTTGAGAACTGTATACCTTTCACAACATTAGCTTCGGATCAATGGTATTACTAATGTAATGCAGACTCCTTAGTTCCAGTTAAATGGATTACCAGATTAATCCTTAAAAAAAAAAAGGTTATAACTCAATTATTCTTTTTTTATCAAAGAGGTCTTGTGAACTAGAGTAAGAAAAGCATAACATTATTCCTGAGATAATCATAGCTTTTTTACTGTACTACTCAGTTTATTGTCTCCATCTTTCCTCCACTCATCCTCCACCACTTGCTGCGTCATATAGCTGAGCACTACATTGCACAAGGGCCTGATTTAGTAAACATTCATGCTCAACATGCACTGCTCAACTAAATAAACAAAAGCAGTTCCTCCAAGTCCAGTGGGACTACTAACACTGAGTAAACTATGCTTGTTAGCCATGAGCTGATACGTGCTGGAACAACTCTGCTTCTGTGCTCATAACCCAGATCTGGCTGCTGCTGCTTGGTACAGAGCTTCACACAACAGCTTGCTCTCTGCCACAGTCCTTGGGTTCTACTGCACAAGTAACAGCACAGCACAGAACACAAGACTGAAGAGGAAGAGTTCAGACAGTGACATGGCCAGGAACTGTAACACTGTCTCTGCAGTACTTGTGCACTGCTTGTAACACCTGTATCACACAAACTCCACCTCTATCAAGTATCCATTTTGCCAGGACTGTGCTAACAGACGCGTAAAAGAATTCTTCTGAACAATCTGAATTTATTCATGCCCTCAAGGGCACCTGTCATATTACAGCTTCTTAGCCTAGAGGCCAAATAGACCAATTTGTATTTCTATTATCTCTTATATACTCTTAAACAAGAGTACAATAAGACAATGTAATGGAAGCTCAAAATAGCTTCATTTTCTCACCTGAGATGCTGGACATTTTATAATGTCATCTCATAAAACTGTGATGCATTTGAAATAGACTTTTAACATGTTACACAGTTCCTAGGGAATCACAGAATCCTCATAGAATCATCAAAGGGTTTGGGTTGGAAGGGACAGTAAAATCACCCAGTTCCAACTACCCTGCCATGGGCAGGAACACCTTCCACTAGACCAGGTTCCTCAAAGCCCCATCCAACCTGGCCTTAAACACTTCCAGGGATGGGGGACCACAACTTCTCTGGACAACTTGTTCCAGCACCTTGCCATCCTCACAGTAAAGACTTTTTTGCTAATATCCAATCTAACCCTGTTGGGGTGCGACACTGGTATTTGGGTTCTTCTACCCAGGACTAAGACTGACAAGAGAGAGGCTACTGTGTGCTGCACTGCAGCATTTTCTATCGAATCACTTATTATTACCCAAAAATCCCTAGAAGGAGATGAAGAAGGAATAAGAAGGAGAATGCGACAACACCCTAATTCCTCCTAAATCTCGTCTCTTATTTAGTAAAATAGCTTAAACCTTGAACTCTAACTTTCTCACCCAGTGACCCAAAAAAACTATCTAACCCACACACTCACATTCCCACTTTCTCTACTTAACTTTAACAGCTGTCTCCATGGTGTTATGTGAAACTTAGTGCTCTCTTGGGTGTACCAGACCCAAGGAGGTCTGGTAGACCAGTAGGAAACAAGAAGTTGGAATGCAATGCTTTCAGAAAAATAATTCCCTGTAGCAATAGCAATTATGGTTGAAGCACTGACAATCTGACTATACATAAGCGAAGCTGATTTTTATTGTTTTTTAATTTCCATTAGATTAAAAAAACAGTTTAACAGTATGAATGAAAAAAAGAGCTAAAACTAGTATTTTTTCAAATTCACACATATTTCTAACAAAGTCAGCAAGTACAGTAAGCATTATTTTCCAGTTTACATCATTCCAAATTAAAAAAAAAAAGTAAAAATAAATAAGAACAACACAGACCACAATTGACACATATTACTTAAACCAAAACAAATCCTCCATACCATTTGGTAGCAGAGCTGCAGTATTATCTTGATCAATTTTTGTCCTATAGGTAAGTGCGTAGCATGAACCTTTAACAGTAAAGCAGAAAAACATGAGATTACACAGTCTGTAAAGACAGACATGACAAGATAAAAATTCACTTCAAGACAATCAAACATGAAACATCATCTGAATCACACTTGTGTTTTCATCAACTTTCTTCCACCTTCTCAAGCAAAATGGCATTGTTATTATTTCTATAAACCCTGTTCTGACAATATTTTAAAGAACCTATAATAGGGATAATGTTAATAATATGCCCCAATATGAAAACATTTTCTTTCCTTCCACCTGTGACTCTCCCCAGTCAGCAAATGGAAAACCCAATTTCTTCTCAGATGTATTTTTATCACACAAAGACAAGGTGGAAGATGCTCACATTACTAAATAATTTTGTCACATTATCTGCCACTAATTGATTTTGTTTTTTAAAATACAAGTGTCAGATGCTGTGAACTCTGTGTACAAATGTTGTATTGCTTCCATAACACTACTGGCATAAGAAACATTAATGAGATTAAAGGAAATAAGAAAAGAGTCCCACATTTAGCAAGTAATGGATCTCTTGTTGTCCTGTTTCATGTACATGTTCTCTGTTCTCCTCTCTTTTCTCTGTAATTTTTTTTTCTCTCTGGCTATCAGCTGAAGGGTACAATAGCTATCATAAGCCAAAGGAGCGGGCTCTTGTCGCTAAAGGACACAAAATGATTCACACAAACACTTTTCAGTGTTAGAACAGGAAAGAACCAACTTTTATTCTCTGACTCCAGTATTTACAGATTCTCAACAATGACCAAGGATTGGATAATTAAGTTACCACCTTCCCAAGCACACCGGTCATGCAAAACGTCCATCAAAAGACATTTCTTAGAAGGAATGTGATAAACAACCTATGTTTATAGAACTTTCATGGGAATGTAACTAGAACTATGAAAACATTATCAGAAGGCTTTAGTTTTCAGGGCAACAGGCTCTGCTAGATGACAACAGCATGGTCTGACTATGCAACAGCAAGAGGCTGTATCTTTCTTTGCATCCTCTTTACTCTTAGTGGGTAAGGATGAGCTGTCACAGCTCTCTCAGTGAAAAATAAAAAATAAGGAAGCATATTTTTCTCTTGCCTGCTGTGAAACACAGTTCAGCACAGCCCTGTGTTGAAGTATGAAGGAACAAGAAAGGGTGAAGAAAGATTTCTACAGGAATCTGCATAAAGGTGAAGTGTAGAAGAAACAGGTGTGAAGATACATGGAAGCCCTCTTGAAAGCTGGCTTTCAGAATTGAGATAGAATAGGGAGAAATTTATAAGGAACACTCACAGGAGTTTTGGACCCTGTGGGTGTAAACAAATATCACACATGACAAAACAGAAAAAAGCATATAAACAAATTCATGCAGAATTTGCTTAGTACTTTTCCTTCCCTTTCTTTAAAACACTTTTCAGAATAAATAATAATAAGACTATTACAATTTTACTGCACTATAAAAAAAGTACATTATGACTGCGTTTGTTCTGTTCTGATTTCCTCCTTACCTTTCTTCACAAAAGCATCAATGAATTCATGAGCAACCAATTCATGAAGGGGTAAATTCCTCACCAGGTAGTACTCTCCAATATCTGCAACTGTGCTTTTCAGCACTTCAGGTAGCATGCCACATTCCGGGATCAAAAAAGACACCTATTAGGAACACAGCTGTAATGTAAATCCCATCATAAAACATGTTCTGAAAAAAACCCAACCAAACAAAACAACAAGAAATACAAAAGAAAACCTCTACTTTTCAAAGACCTATCAGTATATTATATGAAAATGAGATGGACAAAAATAATATCAGGGTCTTCGAAATATACCAATATTATATCAATATTGTAATATATCAATTTTCATAGTCTGTAGGTACACCAAATGCATTATTTGGTGGTTTGGGTTTTGATTTTTTGCTTGTTTGGGTTTTTTCTTTTGCTTTTTTTTCCCTATACAATAGTATTTGATGTATTATGTAAATACATGATATTACACAGCATGAGGTAACAGAAGATCTTGTTTCACATCATTATACATTTAGCTTGATGTTGCACTCGGACACCTCCTTCAGCCCTTGCTGGAGCACTTGTTGAAGCAGTTGTAACTAAAAATGTAGGCTAAGAATTTCTGTAATCTTAGCGAAAAAGCAAAGACCAAAGTAGAATCTTTATCTTTTGCTTAAAACCCTTCCTGTACATTTTCCATAGGCCAAGAGAACCCTGAAGTCTGGCAGACCAGGTAAAACAAGGTAACATGGGCAAGTATGAACCTTCCCAGGCAGCATAAAGGTCTGTCCACCTGCTCCTCCTTCCATCCCTCAAAAAAACTTCTTTTCCAAAGCTCTTGGAGAAGAGGTGTGTATCTCCCTTAGCGAGTGTTCAAGAGAAGTAAGGACTGAAAAATGAGCTGCCTTCCACATCAGTAGGAAACTTTCTGATTAGCTGCTAAAATATGTCTCAGAAGTCAGAAACAGTTAACAATTAGCCCAAAATTACAGGGAATGAGAAGGGGGTTATGAAACAGGGTCCTGCCTGATTGCTGCAAAATGTGTAATACCTAAAAACTTTCTTAAGGAAGGATGTTCTTTGATGTTTGGTCTTTGTACACTTTCAAGCCTAATCAACAAGAAGGGAGATTTTATCCATGAAACAACAGCACAGTTAACGAGCCCTAAGTGAAGTCCAGGTCTCTTTGTTAAAGTTTAGGGCTGGACATGCTTCAGTGATCTCAGACCTAGGGTGAGCTTAACAATGCTTGGAGAGAAGGATGTACCACTGATAGCGGGCAGAAAGAATGCAGAATTTACAGGCCACAAGGACATTTGGCAGAACTCCCAAGATAAGAATGAAACTTAACAAACCCAGCAACTGTGCTGAATCAGCTCTGAGTGGATGAAAGACAAATTCCGGCAGGTGGGGATCACGGCCACCGACTCACGGACCACCGACCCCAAAGCAGAGAAGGACTAAGCATGCGGATTAATTAGCATGGGAGACTCATTAACCAACAGCAGATAGAATACTAATTTATAAGAGAACCACGTAACTTGTAGCCAATGAACACTAATTCCTGTGTTTGGTAAAATGTAGTCGAAAGTTTTGATAGGTGGTGCGCTTGATTTGTGGAAAGCTCCGCCTTACAGCCTGAGCGGAATAAACACTGTCTCCTTTCTAAACTGGAGCCTGCGCCTGTGTCTAGAGAGCTCCTAAAATCGGCACCATCACCTGTCCCACTGGCTCACCCCTCTTGCTCCTCCTGCCCGCCCCGTCCTTCACTCCTGGAGGAAGGAAAGAGTTTGTTTCTCCCACGCTGCGGGAGACCACAAACACGAGGGGGGCTAATTTGCCTTTTTTAATCCGCCTCCCCAAAAATGAGGCGCGCGGGCCGGCTCTGGCAAGGACGGAGGAGCCCCGCACAACACCGAGTCCCGGCAACGCGTCCCTGGAGCGGCCAACGGGCAGAACCCCCGGGGACGGGCGGCGCGGGAGCCTCAGGCAGCTCTGACCCTTCCCTTCCCTTCCCTTCCCTTCCCTTCCCTTCCCTTCCCTTCCCTTCCCTT